ATATATATATATATATATATAATAAAATGATTAAAGTACTTAATTAAAGGACTTTATAATTAATATATTGATGCAATGTCTACTTACTACTTATTTAGTTTGTCTATAATCCAGCACAGACAAATATGATTTTAAGTACTCTAAAAACTGACAGAGGTAATTAATTTATTTAATTGATCAATCTCATGGCAAGGACTCTTTTACAGCAATTTGCACTGGAGAATTAAAAATAACAACTCTGTAAGATGAGGATGGAGGAGGAGGCGTTTGTCTGATAGACTATATCAAGGCACAACAATTCCACCCAAATAAGAGTCTTACCAGTGTTCAAATGTTGAACTGATAGCATTGAAACTAAAGTACCAAAAATACATCTAAATGCAACTGTATTTGATTCAGCTTAGTGTAGTCTAATATTATTTTGAGGGAAATAAGGACATGCTGTGCACAGTGACATTAGAGTTTGCAATAAAGCAAAAGCTTCAGTAGATAACAAACCTTTCTTCTCTTCACAACCTGTGTCAGACTTCAAGGTATGACTGCTGCTGTGTAAGGAATCTTTTGAATCTTCATTTTCATCCAAAACCCCAGCAAAGCTGATCTTCCTCTCATACCTGTGTCGATCCATCTCAGGGTCCAAACGTAGCCTGCAACTCTCCAGATCCTATAATATTATATAACCATAAAAGTGTATGACAAGCAAGTGTATAAATAAAACAGGCTTTCAAGTTTTTTTCCTGAAGCAAGAAAGTTCAAATTGAGAAGGAAATGTAAATGTTGCATTAGATTTTATCTTACTATTTTGCAATGAACACAAGAAGGAAGTAGGCTACACTGAAAATCATTGACTTTATAACTGGTTTTTATATGCTGCTCTTATAATTCTATCATAAAATATTTTCAGGGGAAGTTACTTTAAAGATTAAATAGGAATAGCCAACAAAAAATCCAATTTGTTCTCAGTGATTTTCATGCTGCAATAAATATTACCAAGTAAGGTCCCAAACTTTTGTCAATATTACAAAAACAGTATTACATCATTGTGACATAAGCTTAGTCTCTTTTTTATGAGCATGAGATATTCACAAAGCACATAGAAATAGGCAGAGCTTTCAGAGCAACAGTAAGAATCTGCTTTTATATTTTGCTCGCCACCACATACTGCCCCTAAAGAGACCTCTGTGTATCTAAACTAAAGAACGTCAAGAATGGTTGGATTAAATTGCCATATATCCATCTTGGGAAATCATTCCCCGCCACAAAACCTATGACCAAATCACTGGCCATTTTGGATAGCATATTTTAACTCTGTCTCATCAATACATTCTTTAGCTACCCAGTTGATTTTTGGTTTCCTGCCCTACCCAGATCTTCCCCACTTCTGCAACTTTATCCTTTTATATCCTAGATCCCTCCCTCTCTCTCACTTACCACAAGAGGTTCAGTACGTGGCCTGGGCATGTAGGGAAAGGTCTCTCGAAGAAAAGTGGTGATCTCTAGAAGAAGCTGACATGCTGCCATCTTCAAAGCAAAAGGACAACAACATTTGGTGGGATTTACTGTACCTAAAAAAGAAAATATACATATAAATATATATGTTCTCTTACAAAAAAATAGCAGCAAAGAAAAAAATCATTCTAAAAAAATGGACACCACCAGACATAGTACATAATGCAAACTGTGTATGGAACAATATGTTGTATGATTATTCTATTTTTGGAGGGGCGAAGGGAAATGTGACAGTCACATTTAACTATGGTATTGTTTCATATTCACTGTGATTTATGATACTTCTACAACAGCACCACTGCACTGATCTCAAAGACACGATTCCTATAAATGAAGTCTCCGTAAGAACTCTTCAGCTCATAATTCAGATCTGTTTTAGAAATTACACACTCTTATACTATTTTTCCATTATTTTCCCCTTTAACTAACACATTCTCCAGAGATTCAGTTTGAGAGGAATAATAGTGTGATTTATTTGGTAGCAGATTAATCCTGAACTTCCCCTGCTGTTCTCTATATTGTTAATTCTGCTACATGAAAGAAAAATAGCAACTTTTGTTTGTTTGAAAAATTACAGGGGGAAAAGCTACATGTCATATTTAATTTTGGCCTTGATACATACTTGATACAATTATAAAATATTTCTTTGAAGAACTGATTAAACAATAGCAAAACTTCTGTCAATTTAGATGAAAATAAAGGACTTCACCATACTTTTATTATTGTAGATGTATTCCCTGTAAATATTTTCACCTTAGAGAAATTGAACAACCATGGTAGGTTTCACCAAATTTCCTACTTTCAAGTTTGAAAGCTTGCAATTTGAAATTTCAAGTTTGAAATTGCAAATTCTTCATATCTGAGATCTAGATAATACAGAGTTAAATTTCTTCAAGATTCTCTCATAGTCATCCTACAATTGTATAACAAACTAGGACAAGCTATAATTCTTTTCAGATAAAATCTTTACTAAAACTGTTGTTAAGTAACTAATACGTCTAACTGTGTGCTGCATTGCTTTATAAGAAGTGCAACAGGACATGATGATGACACTGTGTATCTTAATAGCAAGTGAGCTGATTCTCTATATTATGAAATGTTACAGAACTTCTGAATGACAGAATTAAAATACAGTCACAGAGGTCCCATTTCTCTCTGATTTACAAATTCTTTTTTTTTCTCTAATTCCTTCACTGTGAGCACTCTGCAGCAAGATATAGAAAGTCCTTATGCATGTACATGTATACATATGCATTCTTAAATATTTATTTAGCCACACAACTAACAGAATAATTCTAGACAACTGACAAAGATTAAAGGGTCCAGGCTGTATATGAGCAAGGTTAAGAACCAATATATTGCCAGGCCTTGGTAACTGAAATATGATGCCCACAATCTGTTCTATCCAAATATTAGATGGCTTAGATGTTCTAGACTTAGATATTTACAAAGTAAATCCAACAAAATCACAAGAAACTCTAATGGATAGCATGCTTAGAGGGGAAGAAAAACATTACAAATACACACACATATAAATCAATGTATTACAATAGACAAACATGTAGATGACATTTTGAAACATTTTTGTTCTGCTAGACTGACCTACATTTTGTTGAGACATTTTGCTGTCAATTGTAGTGTCATGTTCTACTTGTCTGTGCTGATTTATAAAAGTGTTATCATACAGTCTTCTTGCCATTTTAAATAATTGTGTGATACTAATTGTTACATTACATAATATTAAAGCATAAATTTCCTTTACCTCATGATTTGCAGATGTGTTCGTCTACAACTACCACGGTTACCAATCAAGATAGACAATTAATTCCTTTACTAAGGAGTGTGGTGGCTCATAAGGTTGAACACAGTGTTTGAGAGCCATTGCTCAGGGTGAGGTGAGCTCCCGTCTCATGCTCCAACTCCGTTAGTAGATAAATGGGTACCACTTTGGTGGCAATTTCATCGGGATGCAAAAGGAGCCCCCCCCACCTGCGAGCGCCCCAGCAAATTCTTTCACCATGAAAGCACTTTGGTGCTTCTGACATGGAAGTATTAGTAACTTTTTATTGTGAGTTCTGAATGTGGTAGTCCCCCATTTTGAAGGCAACGTTTTTTCTAGAATCTGTTTACCATTAAAAAAAAACTTCCACAGATGAATATTTGACCTCCAATTTAAATCTTTTCATTTAGCCTGTTTTCTAGTTTTCCATTTAACAGACAGATACCATCTAAAAGGACTGATTTTTTACAAGTTCTGGTGGAGTTAGAAGACAATAGGATGGCTAGCAGAAGCATAAATCATGCATAGCACTTTAAAAAAAACCTTGAAACCCTCACAAACCTGGGGCATATTTTCTCATGGTGGGCAAACATTTAATGGGTAGTTTGAGGCTTTGTGAAATCTCACCTCTGCACAATTTGGATTAATGCAATATAATAAAGTATATATAAAGTGTTGATAGGAGGGGAGAGATCCAGCCCTCGCCCACTGCTTTACAGGGTTCCTCAGGGCTCAGTACTCTCTCCGCCCCCCACTCTAGCACTGTTTCAGAAGGCACTGAAGATCTGGTTTTGCCAGCGGGTCTGGGGAACCCAGAGTGGGATGCAGCCCATCAAATGGCTCGTGTGATCTGCTGTCATCGGGTTGGGAGGTGGGAGTTGAGGGGGGATTTTTTTTTTCCAGATTTTGTTCTATTGTATTTTATTTATTTATTTGATTCTTTTTGTTAGTTTTTATTGTTTTTTTATTTTTATTTTTTTGTTTTAAATATGGTTTTACATTGTGTAAGCTGCCTTAAGTCACTATGGGTGGGTAGGCAGCAACATAAATCAATTAAATAAATAAATAAATTTATATTTTATCACTATTGTTATAAATCTTCAGATTTTCTTATATGCACTGCTCTGAGCACATAATTTTTTAAAAATAAATTTAAAAAACAAAAATGGATCATATTGGAAATTGGAATTTCAGGTCTACATTTGCAGTCCCCAGTAAACAGTCAGTGCAGATTCAAGTAGAAGTCTACACTATCTGATTTATAAGTTTACCTAGGTTCTACTGAGCTACTGGAAGTAATTATTGGATGCCGATAAGAAGATGAACCCAACTAGGTTCACAAGATTCTGCAGGTGGCTACATTTTTATTTATATAAAAGGCAACATATTTAATTATTTCTTCCCCTTCTTGTTTTTAATGCACCAAACTACTACATAACACATTAGAGCAAAATTCAAATAGTCAAAGAAGAAGAAAAGAGGAAATGGGGTGAAACACTGGGTGGAAAGGGAACCAAAAAGGAAAAAAGGATTTTTTTAAAAGAAAAAAAGAAAGAAAAAAAGAATAAGTGTTCCTAAAGGAGAGGTTCTTACAAGTGGGGGTTCTTGTAGTAAAGGGAGTCTCCTTACTGTCATCTAAAAAGTCTTCTTCCTCATCCTCCTTTCTCAGCCTCCTTTTGGTCTCCTCATCATAAATGAGGCCCAGCAGATTGGCTGGACTCTCACTCTCAGAATGGCAAAGTTCATTGAGACGGACTCCAATTGCCTGCCAAAAGTATGGAATTAAGAAAAGGTCATGAATGCTTTTTAAAGGAGAAAATCTCAATGATGATGTTCAAGTTTGCAAATAAAGACCTCTTTTGTATCTATGTTGATTATATTATGTCATTTAAAAAGACCTGGGAAAAATAACATAACAAGTAGAGCTTTTATATAATATTTTACGATATTCAAAATGTTTTAACTTCTAGCATCCTGCTCTAATGCTTCCTTTTTTATATACCGGGTATAATAATTTTTATTAAAAGTTACAGATTCAAAGTTAAAAAAACTAATACAAACTAAGAAAAATATAAAAAGTAAAGAGAAAAATAAAACACGCAAGAGGAAAAAAGGGAAAAAAGAAATATATGAAGAAATGACTTTCTGCTTCAATCAAGACAAGCATAAACATTTTCAGAAACTTATCACCTCTGATACAGCAATATAAGACCTCTTCCCATATCTCATCTCTTACCTATAAACAATTTTAAAGCTTTGTTATTCAGTTGTAATCAGCAAAATCCCTTAAGAGTTAAACCAACTTTATATTCCTTTGTTTTTTACAGTAACTTATCACTTTTTCTGAAACTACCACAGTAGTTCCCTTTTTTCCACATTTTTAAACAAATGTTTAAAGCCTCATTAAAGAAAAATCCATTAAAAACTACCAGAAGCAATATATACATTTTATCCCTGATCAAATAATCCGACTTTGTATTCTTTTCCTTTGCTTTTAAAAATCTTGATCTTTAATCCCTTTAAATAGCGTCTCCAAAGTTTTATCCAATAAAAGTTGTTCCTCTTCTATATCATCTTTTAAATCCATTTTTAGAATAGCAGATAATATTAAGAGTAATTTCTTAGTGCATTGTCCCCAAATATCCTTAAATTCTTCCAATATTAAACTATCTTGCTCCATTCTTTATTGTTGGATCTCTTCTCCTTTAATTATTATAATATTTAGATTTTTATGGTTTTCCCTAGTGTCCAATGTTCAAAGTCCTCTCATCATGTTCTTTTCTAATCAACAGCAATTTCCCACAGGAAGGCTTCTTATATTTAATTTTAAATTTTTACTTCAAATTGACCTAGCCCCTTAGTCCATTTATGAAATTAAGTATGTGCAATTCAAAGACAGTTATCAAGAAATGTCATGATTCAATTTGTAAGAAAATCTACTTAAGAACAAGTAATGCAAAAACATTACCAATGAGATTTTAATGAAATAGATGCAAATATTTAGAGAAATTCCAACTACAATATTAAGGAAACATAAAGAATATTCCTTCCTGACAGATCTTATAAAGCAGAATAACATTCTTTTTTGCTGAGATAAATTGGAAGGATCATCTTTATCTTTAGAATTCAATGCTTTAGACTAAATTCAGTAGCCAAAGATTTTCAGGAAAGGTATGGTTCTGAATTGCATTATTTCTCAAAAGCCGAAGAATCAATTACCACAAGAATTTGGCCTTAAAGAAAAAGATAAAAAGAAATCTGAGGTTGTGGAAATGGAAGCTATAGTTGAAATACCTGAAACTTCTTTATTATAATGGATGGATTGTAAGATTTTAATATGGAATGTAAATGGGCAATTAAAAGAGTTAAGACAGGTAAAGCTCCAGGACCAAATGGCCTATCAAGTGGATTTTATAAAATATTTGAAGATCATCTACTTCTTCTGATGAAGGAATTAATGGACTCTATTTTACAAGAAAATTCTATGCCTGACTCATGGAAAAAACCCATCATCTCTCTTTGATACCCAAAGAGGATGGGGACTTAACTTCTGTGAAAAATTACAGACCAATTTCACTTCTTAATAATGATTATAAATTGTTGACATCCATTTTAACCAAAGGACTAAAAAACTTTTATGAGACTACATAAAGGAAGTTCAATAAGGTTTTCTACCCAGAAGATAACTAAATGACAATGTGAGAATAGTCTTGGACATAATAGAGCATTTACAACAACACAGTGACAAATAGATTTCATTATTTTTTTGGATGCAGAAAAAGCTTTTGACAATTTGACCTGGGATTTTATGTTTATAGTAGTTGAAAAGATGCATTTTGGACTTGTTTTTTTTTCCAGAGATTAATGTCCACTTATACACTATAGAAGGCTCAGATAATGGTGAATTTAAGATTTGAAAGACTCGTGTGAAATCTAGAAAGGAACAAGACAGGGGTGTCATCTATCTCCTTTATTATTTATCTTGATGTTGGAATTCTTAAATAGGAATATTAGACAACAGAGTAAAGAGATTACAATCAAAGCACATAAATTTAAACTTCATGCCTTTGCTGATGACTTGATTTTGATTTTGCAAGACTCTTAAAGAATATTAAATATGCTATGAGGAAGTTTAAAACATTTTGAAAAGTGGCGGGTTTGAAAATAAACAAAAATTGACAATAAAGTTATGAAAAAGCTAAAGTATTTGGACTGACTCTTACTAATAAAAATTCTAAGTTATTTAAAAATAATTATGTTAAAATGTGGAATGAGATAAAGCTGGATTTACACAGAAAAATTAGATTTGTCATTAATGGGGAGAATTTCAGTCATTGATATTAGAATGTTATTTCTTTTTCAGACTATACTGATATTGATTAAAGAGCTTTCTTTTAAATCAGGAGTCCCCAACAGAAAAGAGATGCTACTGGAATCTAAATGGATGATATATTGTAATTTATTGATATTTGAAGAAGAGGGACCTAAGGTTAAAAAAAAGAGAACATCTAGCATGTGAAAAATTTAATTGTGACTGGTTTAACTATTATAGAATTTTTGAAAGATTTAAATTTGATTTAAATTTTTTTGTTTTTGCAGGAGATAAATCTGAATTGAGAAGGAACTCATGCTCTGGATCTGATTGCTAGTTTATAAAATGTTAGTTAAAATGAATCTGGAAAATGTTAAAAATCATATGGTAAAATGAGCAAAAAAATTAGTTCTAACATAACATTAGATCAATGGGAAAATATATGAACCAATGGTTTAAATTTTACTTTTAATTTCAGTTTAAAAGAAAACTTGCATTAAATGATGTATCATTGGTAGTTGATTCTGGAAAGATTGGCGAAAATGAATAGTGCCATTCTTAACAAGTGCTGGAATGTAATCAAACTCCAAGTACACTTTTTCATGTTTTGGTCTTATAAGTATGCTAAATCATATCAGATAAATATAATAATGACAAAAGAAAATATTTAAAATACAAGTACTAATGAAACCTGAAGCCTTTCTTCTAGGCATTATGAATAAATTAATAGAATATTGAAAAATTAATAGTTTGGAACATTGCTTCAGTATATGGTAATGGTTCTGAGGATTGTTTATGCTAAGTATTGGAAAGAAAAGAGGACACCAATTGAATGGATTTAAAAATTGACTGAACTGGCAGAAATGGTGAAATTAACTGCATTGATTAGAGACAATGTTTTAGATGAGACTATAAGAGACTGGAAGTCGTTTGTGGACTTTCTGCAGGTTAAATACAATAACAGATACATAACAGAGGGCTTTGAAGATTACTTTTACTTTTGGAGTTACTTGTTGACTATGTTTTTATTTTGTGAACAGATGGATTTGACTAACAGATAGATTTCCACATCATGGACATATTTTTATGTAATATAGAATTTTTTACTAAATATAGATGGAAAAGTTTATACTTATTTGTAGACCAGTTATGTAAGGAGAGGAAAATGTAAAATATGTTTTCAATATATTTTTCATCATTCAACCAGGATGGGCATTTTGTTTAATGTCAGTGTAAATAATATATTCACTATTTGTCATTTTTTATTTCACACACATTTTTATTATTAGCGTTTGAAGATATTAGTTTGTTTTTTTCTGTTTTCTTTATTTTGTATATTAACTTTCAAAATAAAATTTGCAAAAATATGGGGGGGGGGGGAGTCCTTGCCTAAAACTTCTTTCATCAGAATTGAAGGGAATGCACCAAGTGTAATGAAATTTGCCTTTCTGAAGATTCTTAATATCCAAAAAGCTGTTAAGAAGCCATTTCTAGAAGTGATTAAGAAAAGAAGTATGCAAACCTAGTGGTTTGGGCAAGGAAGGGTTGGCCTCAGCTGCCAGACCTTTAAAACCTGCCAAAGATATATTATGGTCTCCTCGAAGGGAGTCATCACATGGAGCACTTGTGGGCAATCCCAGGCTCTCTCCTTTATCTGGAGAAAGATTCTGAAGAGATTATCCATTTGCTGGCTCCTTGTTCCACTGCGGCCATTGGCTTCTTCTCAACAAAGCTATTTTAAGTCTGTCATTGCTTCCTTGGAAGTCTGCATTTTTCTGCAATCCTTTCCACAGCTCTGATAAATGTTATTGTCCCCAATAACAAATGGCTTGCCTATGGCAAAAGCAATGACCAAAGTTTTATATTGCATTTTAATTAACTCTGATCAGTGGAGTTTTTTGACAGCAACTTGTAACTCTATGAATATTTTACTAAATAAAACAGAAATTTGAGTTTGTTTCATTGCTGTGGAGAAGGGAGTAAAAGCAAAACTTTTAGAATGACAAAACCTGCCATGAACAAATCTTGTTTCTTTCTAATAGTAGAAAACCTGGAAAAGAACCAGAGCCACTGATTTTAACTGATCAGTTTTCATGCAGAAAAGTGGAATCATTTAAGTAACCTTGTTAGGCTACATCAAATGTGTGTCTAACAAAACTGTAAGAAAATAGATTAGTATAAATCAGAAACCCCGTGGATTATTCAGAGCAGAACTTTGATATTGCTGACTGGTAAGAAAATGAGGGAGGGAAAGTGAGTGGGAAGGACTGAAACTTACTTCCCCCCACTGGTAGAAGAGCTTGGCTGCATTCCACTGTAACTTCTGGTTTCGTTTATTCCCCACGATTGGAGAGCGCCCACGAGAAAGGCCTTTTTTAGTAATATTCACATGATGCCCCTTCATCCATTCTGGCCAGTTGCCCCGGTTGCAGCGGTGCACAAAGCGAGCACATTCCAAGAAAAGGGCAGCCCTCGCCACCACTGGTGCCTCCTAAAATGTATTACCAGAATATCCTTAAGATGAAAGCTAGCAGGTTGAAAAAAACAGTATAAAGACTCAGGGAGTCAGGTTTTAATTTTTTTAAAATAAAATATATACAATGCTGTTTCAAGCAAATGTAAATGAAGCAAATATCATAGATGGCTTGGACCTATCAGGCTTTTTGTCAGTTAAGGACAGGCTCTTTTGCCAATTGAGGAATGCTTCAAAATTTATTGATACGAGGTACACAATAATGGCTTCATCTAAGCTGTAAAACACAATGTGTTATGCGACAAGGCTTTTGCAAGAAAAAAATATTTTCTAAAACGATAATTAGCATTCCAAGAGATACTAAAAGATAGGACACTAAAAATATGCTAACATTTTTACACAATTTTTATACTAAATATAATGAGATTGCTAAAAATAAATCAAGGAAAAGAGTAAAAATAAATAAATTTTTCAAACTTTAATATATTTGGTTTTAAGAAATATAAGAAACTCTATAAAAATGAGAATTTCACAAACTATTCCTAAATCATCTAAACTTTTTTTGTAGGGATTTAACTCTAATACATGTAGTACTTCAGACTCACCTCTGAGCTACCACTTCCTTGATAATGAAATATTAGATCAGTTTATTCCAGTGTAATACCAATTCATAATTGATCAGTACAACAAAAGCTACTTTGGTTATTCTCCCTTCCTTCTTTTATTACAGAGGAACTAATCTCTCTGATGAAAGTTAATTTGTAATATCCCATGTCTGCATTTATTAATTAATTAAAGGTAACATGAAAATTAATTTGCATTTTTGTATGCATATATATACATTTTTGTACATACTTTCCAAAACATACACATTTTCAAGTAATACTTCAGTTATAATCAACTTTGGAACATTATTTCCATCACTATGCACATTTCAGCATGACTTTTTGTTCCTATTCATAAAGCAAAAACAAAAAATAACAATCTGGAAAAATGTTGGTATTAAAGTATTACACATTCTATTTTGTGTATAGTTCTGGGAAAGACAAATTAGGTCACTTTAGATTAAATTGTAAACTGAAGGATATTTTTTCCAAAATTTGCACAAATTGAATTTGCAAGTAAATTCTATATTGGCAAATGAATGGAGCGCAATTCAAACCATGGCACAGACAAGACAATACATAATTACCCAGCAAACATGGGGAGAAGAGGAAACTAGGGTTTATTCACATCACACGAAACAATCACATAATCCAGTGTCATACATGTACAGTACTCATTGTGCTGCAGCTCTTTGTTAATTAATCCAAACAAAATGATGAGCCCTGAATTTTTATGTAGCTATTACCAAGTGTGAATCAGTATTCTTTAATTAAAACATGAACTCACACTGTAAATAATCATTGCATTTTTTTTCATGAAGCTTCCCTGATTGACATAAGAATTTTCTTCTTGCCTCCAAAAAAGCTGATTCCACCACCACCCCTGCAAAAAAGATGGTGGGGTTCTTGTTTTATATTAACTAATTTCATTGGAGCAAACAAGAGCAAATACAAAAGATCTTTTTCTCTTATACCTCCTTAACTGCAGTAAGGCGAAGAGTGAGTTTTATGTTTATATTTTTATAAATATAAAATTAATTATTGTTTATATTTACTCTTCTATTATGTTATACAACCCGAATTCTGCATTGAGCCAGCCCATATTAGCTCAACAATCGAATCTGCAACTACCAATGTTTATGCATTTAAAAGTTTAAGTAATGTGAAATGTTAACATTAAATGGAGAAAATGAATCTGAACTCTGAATGCAAATCTATCTCCCACAGATCCAAAGTGGACTGTGAGGGAGTGATGTGTGCTTTTTCTATCAAATAAGAGGTAGGCAGCTCTGTTCAACTGAACATGGTTTTGATTGGAATGCTTGACTGTTCTCTATAGCTCTAAACGGCTTTATTGCTCAGCAACTCAGACCTTTATTGCAAGAGCTATTTCATATACATCTAATGCTTCAAGCCTTGTCTCAACTGAGGATCCATGACATAGCTTTCTGTTGGCTTCATATGAAACAAATGTTATCCACATTACACTGAGAGTCAACATGCTGAATCTCAGAACATTATGCAAAGGCATTGCAGTAGCTTACCTTATGCCCAGAGCAATCTGAAGAAGCAGCAAGAAAAAGATGAAGGTGTTTGACAGAATGGATAAGGATGAATTCACACCACAGAGAAACACATCACAAATGAAGATAAATGAATTAGCCACAAGCTGCATAGCTGAAAAGAACCATAAGTTACAACTTTCATTGTCCACAGAAACAAAGCAACGCATGGCTGCAAAATTCAAAATAAGATGCACATCGTCCTCATAATTTGCTTATATAGCTGCCTCCTGCTGCTATTCCAGTATTTGTACAATGCTTAAAGATGGTGAAAACAACAGTAACAACATAAAATCACCATTTTCTTTGACAGCTTCATATAATGGCAAAAAGCATCCAAATAATTAATTGAACATATAGATCAAAGGATAGAGAAAAACTTCAGAATTGGGGGGGGGGGGCAGAGTTGATTGTCAGTAGGAAAGTTAAAGATAATTTGCAATTCATGCTTCAGAATATGTGGACTTACAGTATGTAGTTCCTGAGAGAATTACAGCATTCATTGGAGTTAATGAGAATCAGCTCGGAATGAAACAAGCAGCTTTCTGGGTGGATATAGGGATCCCACAGAAAGTGCTTATAGAGAAAACACAAGGACTTGGACTTTGGGAAACAAATCTTTGTCTCCTTATGTAACATGTTCCCTTGAAAACTTAAAGCCAGAGGGTGTTAATTCCTCCTGCTGACATTTCCTAGGTATATGCATAAAAAGCCAGAAGGATGTGGAACCACTTATTTTGCATTGCACAAAGAAAGGACAAATATAATGTAATCAGGGATACCAATATTCCAGAAGTAATGTGTTCATAGGGATTTCACTTAAGCACTAACTCTCTTCAGATACTTGTGTCAGTGTATAAGAATTCATGAATTGGAATAGCCATAGCAACAAGTCAGCCAATGGGGACTGTTTGGTGACTGAGACACAGGACTTGTGTGAACCATGTGAGAAGGCTTGGAGCCTGGGCGTGGCTTAGCTTAATTCTTCTGTGTATATGAGAGTTTGTTTGTCTCTTTGCTTGAGACTACTTGTATTTGCTACTTCTTCTCTCTACCATGTTGCAAGAGCTGCTGGGGTATGCATCCTGTTTTATTATTGTATATAAAGAAGTTTCTTCTATATAATGAATCCTGCTGAATTATTTATTTGTGTGTTGGCTGGATTGCTACAAACTCTGACAACTTGTAAGATGTCACCTGTACATACAAGGAGGGGGATTAGGCATGTGAGTATTTGATTTCCCTCCTGCCCCTCACAAATAATTGCTGTTGCTTCTTCATAGAGTGGGTTGTACCAATGAGGCTCCTATTGATGAACATTCTCCTAGACACTTGAAAACAAGGTTCTAAATCACAAAAAAGTATTCTCTAAGAAAAATATTAATTAATCAAAAATCGGGGGGGGGAGGGGTTTCACACCAGGAGATTTGCAGAGGGTTTCCTCAGTGAATCTTCTGGAAACTCTTTATAGATATTGGCATGCTTCTTTATGGCTGTCCACATGTAGAAGGCAACATGAAATTAAGACAGAGAAAGAGGGAGGGAGGAAAGTCTAGTTGCTTTCCTCAAACGAAAAGACTGAATGTCCAGAGAATATGGTGAATCTATGGCAACTGTCAAAGATGACATGCCACCCCACAAATACTCTAGAAAGCATGCCTCATTCTCACATGATTTTTGGCAGTTGTGAAGGCTGCAGGAGAATGGGCTGTGCTCTTGCACAATCTCTGAAGCCTCTGAAAATTTTATGAGAACGGGCCGTTCTTTTGTGTAGTTTTCGGAGATAGTACAGTTCTCCTTCAAGAACAAAGGCCTCATGTGATCCAGAGGCACCAGAGAGGCCTGTCAACAGTAAGAAAAGACTGCTGAAGGTAAGTGGTCTGCAGCAGAAACTGGGGAGTGCTGACCCACAGGAACATTGTGCCTGTTGTGGCCCGCTGGCGGCTGACACAGCTGGCAGCAGAGTTGAACAGCGAGGAAGTTGGGGAGGAGCCTGGGCCAGTCCTGGAGACTGAGGAAGGCTCAGGTGAAGGCTCTGCGTCAGAGGCAAAGATGGGGCCAGGGCAGGCTGACAGTCATCAGCTGCCTTCGGGCTCAGACAGCAGTGAGGCAGGGAAGCTTCTGGAACCAGTTCCCAGCCTGCGCATGCGCAGAGCTGCCAAAAGGAAGAAACAATTAAGAACTCAGGGTTGATGTGGGAGTAAGGTCACAGGTGGACGATGAATGGCCCCTCCCAGTAAGGATTAAAAGAGGAGCAAAAGGGGAGGGGGCTTTTGCAGGAAACAATTCATTCATTCATTCTTTCATTCATTCATTCCAGGCTTGTGAAGATCTGTCTGCGTAACCTAGAGACACTGTGCCCAGCCCAGCCCTTCCCTGTCAGCACTGCACGTGGAAATATTTACCGGGTAGCTTTCCAAAATAGATAAGGTCTGAGCTAATAATTATACCTTTGGAAGACTGTTTGCCAGGCCGTTGGCTGAATGTGAATGCAATAAATTCACATTCATTTAATAAAAGAGGTTTTGCCGGGATACAGAGTTTGCTTAGTGCTTTGGGGGGAAGCCTAGGACAGAACAGTGCCATTCCCAAGACTCATGTGTCTTAGGAGGGATGTTTGTTTGTTTATTATCCTGTCTTTCTAAACAACTCAAGACAGGAAATATGGGTCATTCCATGTCAAGTGATCTAGTGGTCCCTGCTTGACCATCATGGATTTTGATGAAATTTTGTGTAAACATGCACACATGTCCCCAATGAACATTGGTAAAGTGTTACATTTGCCGATGTAATACTTGCAGAGATGTAGTCATTTGTTTGACCCCCATACTGCAGCCTTCTACAGGATGACTCTGAGGTTCCGGCAACTTTGAGACACAATATCTCTGGCAATATTTTGTTGAGATATACAAAACTTGGCCATCTTATACTTCTTTTTGTGCTCTATTAAATAAAATAATATTCTCATGAGCGATCTCCATCATGTTCTCACTGTTGATGGCTTCATCAAAAAACTTGCTAGCAAAATGTGGAAACTGACTGGCCATCACTTCATTTCAAAATATCAAAGCAAATATTTGAAGTCATTGAAACCTGGCCTAAAAAAACCTGAACTGATTGCACTGATGGATTTTGTGGAGAATTAGATATTTGTTGTCTAAAATGCTGCTCAAGGCTTTCACTGGCTTTCACAAATGACTATATCTCTACAAGTATTGCATTGGGAAATATAACACTTTACCAATGTTCATTGGGTACATGTGTGCATGTTTACACAAAATTTCATCAAAATCTGTGATGGTCAAGGAGGACACTTTCTGAAATCAGACCACTTGACATGGAATGACTCATATCATAACTAATACTCTTCCCTCCTCCTAATTTCCCCAAACAACCATCCTGTAAGGTGAGTTGGGCTGAGAAAGAATGATTGGCCCAAGGTCACCCAGCTGGCTTTCATGCCTAAAGTGGGACTAGAATTCACCATCTCCTGTTTTCTAGTTTGGTGCCTTAATCGCAGACCAAACTGTTTCCTAGAATACTCTGAGACAAGCTTTTTGAGTGGCAGTAGTGGTTTTAGGCCTTAACTTCAGGCCCGGCCTCCAGTGCTGCTATTCAGGATGGCTTAGATAAGAAGAAGGAGTGAGGGGGAGATAGAGAATGGTTTCTCTTTTGTTTATGGGTAAGGGTTGGGACATGCCAGCATATCTATATTACTATTTTATACAACAGCTTTCTCTATACTATTTACTGTAAAGTCTTGAAATCTGAGACTACTGGTACAATAACACAGAAGGCTATAAAAGTACAGTCAGGATGAATTGGGGTACAAAAGAGAAAATTCATACCTTATTTTCCCAATGTCTTGCCAAATAAACTATATCTAACTACATTCTAATAGAACTTGAAAAATAAGTCAAAAAGTATCCCTGAGTAACTACTGACTTGAGGATGCGAGTGATTGGGAACATGTCTGCATAGGTAGAATTACTTACAAAAATATATCATGCAACACCAAAAGTTTTAAACATCAAAATACTATATTAAATGGCAATCACTGTAAAATCAGCAATTGGTGAGGAGCATTAATAGTGGATGAGATGAGAGAAAAGCAAAAAGTAGCTTGCACAATGATTCTTTGGATCCCAATCTATGCAGGCTATGGATTATTTACCTCTTGGATCCACAAATCCCAGACTATAAATAACTCATAAAACAGAATATAGTGAAGACTTCCTCAAATCACTATCCCTTTACCTCCCAGAGAATAACTTGAGACTCCTAGTTATGGTTTAGGTTAATTATTGATACTGATTGAATACATCAACTGAACTTTGTGAAATTATTGTAGCCAGAGTTACAAATGACATAACTGTATAAGAGGCTTAGTAAGTGGAGTTGTGACAAGTGGAGCTTGAATTAGAAAAGAATTGTTTTCATTAAGCATAGCATAAATCCAAATAAAATGAAAGACATAATTACAGATGGATAAAAAATAATGTATTAGTCACTGTACTTAACATTAGTATTCCCATCCTTCTCTAGTAGTTTACTCTCTCTCAGCAGTTACCATAATCCATCACAAGCCAGACTCTTCAGTATTACAAACAAAACCCATAAACAAGTGCATAGAGACTTACAAGATCAAGAGCAGCTGCAAGGATGGAAGCATCGGGGATTGTTCCTGGTTCACAGCAGTTTAAGAGAAATTGAAAGCGCTTCATGCCTTGCCGAATGGCTCCCAAATTCACCACGTTCTTGCTTTTGTTTCCCTCTTGGCTGGAAGTCAGATGATCTTCATAAGTCTGGCAACCTTAAAAGAAGATCCAAAAGGGAAGGTGGGAGGGAGGGGAAAGAGAAATCCCCCATAGATGTTTTAAACATTCATTGGGTCTACTGACAATTCTGAAGCAAATGTCTCCTATTAATTTGTCCTCGAGCATCAAGCGTGACAGAATGAGAGAGGCATATATTCAGAATATCTATGACTGCAACAAACTCTATGGAGTCTTTAGGACATGTTTCATCTCACCTAGTACCAGAGAAAATGCTTAGTCTCCCCTTGGGACATTATGCTTAGTCTACCCTTGGGGCAGTGAATGAGAGAAGTGTTGCTAAATGTGCAGGAAGTTCACAGGTTGTCAAGAAGAGGTATCAGGATGTTCAAAGAAGTTGCATGTTGAGATCAGGAGTCATCTTGAAACCTGAGCCCATATTCTATGGATTTATGAATAGTCATGATTATGTCACTTTTGAAGATAACCTAGATTGCATGGCTGGTATTAAAATGAGGAATGACATGTACCAAACTTAAGATCCTTTACGGAAAAACAGAAGATTCGGGTAATTAATAAATATATCTGGATGGCACAATTATAACTGATTGTTATAATGATTTCATGCTTAAAAAAATAGCTTCACATTTTAAAACAGAAAGATCCATCTCAGGAAGCATGAGGGAATAAGACAAAATTACAACAAACCATCACACATATAAAACAGAAAATAAAAAAATATTAACGAAAGCTAATACCCATGTTCAGTTATGAGTCAAAATTTGTAATCTATAAAAAGAACTCAACTTGGGTAAGTGTTGTTTTCTGTGTTGTTTCCTGCATAACTGATTCATAGAGTCATAAGACTGAAAGAGGCAACCTTCCTGTTCAATGCAGAAATCAAAATGTAAGCATTCCAAGCATATAGCCATTCTCTACTTAAAAACACTGGATGCTATCATATCTCCCTCAATAATCTTTTCTCAAAGTTAAACATACTCAACTCCTTAAATCTTTTTTCATGTGGCTTAATTTCTAGTCTCTGGTCATCTTTGTTGCACCCTTCTCTAACTTATCTAGATTCTCTGATTTATTGTTAATTCTTTCCAATTTTATATTATTTGCACATCTCATAAAAGCTTCTTCTGCTTTATCCAAATCATTAATGAGTATAAAAAGTAGAGGACTGATCTTTGCAGAAGTTCATTACTTTTTAATCAGATGAAGAAACATAGATGAATACTCTTTGAGTACAGTTTGTAAGACAACTATGTATCCATGTCATTATCATTTTATTCAGGTCATGCTTGTGATACATCTTCAGGTGGTTACATCCTCAGTATTTTATCAAATCCTTTGCTGAAGTCAAAGTAAATTTTAACTATAGATTCCCACAATATTTTAAGAAGGCTGCTTAATTTATTTTTAAAATGAGATAACATTAGTATGCCAAGATTTGTTCTTGACAAGCATATGCTTATTTCTAGTAATTACTGCATTGGTTTCAAGATGCTTGAGGATTGATCTGCTCTAGAATCTTCCCAGGCATTCATGTTAAATTGTTTTGTGATATGCCTCTCCCCCTTTTTGAAAATGTGGACATTTGCTTTTCTTCAGTCATCTAGCACTTCACCAGTTCTTCAGATTTGGGTTTGACCAAATTCTAAGCAATTCTTTCACTTAGTGTGGCCACCTATGACACCAAACCTGCCCATCTTAGTTTAGAGCAGAGGTGTCAAATTCAATTTCATTGAGGGCCGCATCAAGGTTGTGTTTGACCTTGGGGGGTGGGGGGGAGCATGGCCAGGGTAGGTGTGGCCAGCTCAACGTCACTCATGTCAGGGGCACCTATGGCAGCCCAAGCGCTCTGCCAGTAAAAATGGGCTCCTGAGCTCCATTTTTAGCTGCGATGGCCTCCTGCAACCCTCTACCAGTGAAAACAGAGCTTGGGAGGGCTGGCCTCCCGAACTCCATTTTCACTGGCAGAGGCACCATGGGCCAGTCCTTCCACTGTTTCCAGGGCAGCCCCATGGGCGAGATCTAAGCACCCTGCAGACTGGATCCGGCCTCCGGGCCTTGAGTTTGACATCCCTGGTTTAGAGTGAAGGCCTTCCTTCCTCCCTCCTTCCCTCCCTCCCTTCTAATTTGACACTCCTGCTCTACAATTCTTTCTACTTAATAGGAAGGAGATAACCAATTACCCACAATGGCAGTAATTCAGGAAATAACTTTTTCATCCCTCACAGTTTAAAAAAAATGAATCAGAGCATATAGTTTCATTCTTTTCTTCTTTTTTTTTTCAATTTGATTTCAGTTCCATTTCTATCAGTTCCCTCACTCAGTGAATGATGTAGAAACTCATTCCTGGGGTTCCTTGGTTTATTTCAGTTTTCTGTACTATAACTATTGTACTTATGAGCTAACATTTGAATAAGAATGAGTAAGAGTTTATAATTTTATAATTAAGGCTGCAGTCCTGGGGTTACTCATATTCTGCCATGCTGATCTGAACCTAATCTAAGGAAGTTTGCATAATATATGTATTCCCTCTACATTTTATTTTAAAACAAGTTACTCCTTGGCACATCAGTAAGATCTTTATATTGCATGCTACTGAGTTGTGAACTAAAACTATCAATTAGCTCCTATTGTCACATATTGCCACATAATCAAAAGCCAAACAAAATGATATTTTCATCACTATTGGATATGCTGTTCCATGTTAAAAACTGACAGATTTTGTACATTTTTACAAATTGAATGTTGAAATACAAATATTTATATTTGAAATAATATCGCAAATTGAAGTCTGAGGTCTGTTATACCATATTCTACAGTCATGCTTGACTTTAAACAAAGTAATCATGATATGAATTATAATATGCATTCATTCCCTGCCTAAAAACCATCTAATTTTTTTCATTGAAACTGCAAAGATATTCAGATCTCATTGCTTATAATGGCATTAGGCTTTGCTATTAAATTATGGGGGGGAAAAGTAAATTATTCTACTGGCTACCTGTATGGAAGGATACCCAGAAATAGCTGCAATCAGAAAGAGCCCAAATACTTCGATTAACATATTAAAAGATGCCAATAATCACACATCATATGTCTTCATCTGAAACATCATTTTCTTCATATAGAAAGGCATTTTATGATGGAGCAATGACTAAATGAGGTAGTAACATCGTTTCCATGTTTAATGAAGCATAAGCAATATGTAATGTTGGGTCATGTAAAGTTCTGTGAAAACAACATTGGGATGCCGTGTCCCTTTTTCAATGCAAAAACAGGAAAATAACAAGATGCAAGGTTGTTTCTTTGGTAACGAAAAGCTCACATATGCATATCTGAAATATTGGAAAGAAGTTAAGTCCTAACCTTCTTTGGAGGCAAAAACTTGTTTTCTTAGAAATAACAAAGTAATCAATCATATTTATTATATAAGTGTTCTCAATGTCATTCATAATTTTGCTAAGAATGAAGGACCGCATCTCTATAAGAAATGGCATGAAGACACAAGACAAGCAAACACAGAAGAAAAGAGATAATTAAAACACATTTGTACAGGGTTTTCCATTTCATCAGTGCTGAATTTTACTGAAAATGTAGATGATCAATAATGGGGAATATAAGCTGGTGGGAACATCCAACATTTCACATCAAGGAGCTAAGTGAAATATTAGCATACTATGTTGTTCCAAATTTTCCAAATAGTGGATTTGATTTCTTGAAAGGTCAATTTTGCTTTATCTAAATGCATTGGCCCATATATGCTTTTCCTTCTTGGCTAGAATTGAATGAAAATAAAAAATGACATAAGAAGAAATGAAAAAAGTAGTGGCCACAAATATATAAAGCCATAGAAAACAAAATTGAGTCCAGAAATATGTTTTTAAAGGTAAAGGGTGAATTAAAGAAAGAAGATAATTTTTTAAAAAAAGAAGGAACAAAGAAAAAGTTTAAAGTTTAAAAAAAAGGACTGAAGAAACAGAACCCTGATTTCTAACCATCTTTTTCTTCTGTGTGATGAAGCCTGGATGGATGTCTTCGGCAGGTGCGCCATTTACCAAGACGCTTGAAGAAATTCTCCTCTTCTTCACGCCCATTTTCCATGCCACTTCCAGGCCCACCTTCTGATAGCTTCACTGCACTAGTAAATTTTACCTAAATGTTAAAAGAAGCATCATTTCATTTTTTTTCATTGCTGATGTAAACATCAAACATTAAAACATTCTTCTTAATAAATATTTTCCTTTATTAGTAATATTTTAAAGCCCATATCTCCATAAAGAGAACCATGTTGAGGGAATCACAGTTGAATAAGTAGGAAACAGGAGCAAAACAACCTTCCTTCTTTCCCCTCCCTCCTCTCTCCTTAATGCTTAATATATCTATTCTTCTATCTCATGACTTCTAAGGAAAACTAGTCAATGAAGAGAGAGATAAGCAGTGGGCTAAGAAAACTAGTCAGTGGCTTCATTTTCTCTCCTGTAGAAATACTTTATGGGGTCCAATATTTTTTGAATTATTTTATTGCTTTGCTTATTCAGAAAATTCTCATCCAGAAAGTTTTAGCTTCTAGTAAAGCAAATTTTAGCTCCAATAAAACAGTAAAACCTATAAAGTCCATATTTTCATATTTGGGTTCTTTGCAGTTTACAATCAGCTGAAAATGTTAGATCTGGGAGGATGGTTCAAGAACGGAGGCAAGACTCAGATGACAACAACAGCTCTTTATTAGTGACTTCAGATCTGAGCAAAGAATCCCAGCCGCAGCAGCCCCTTATATAGGGCTGGCTGCGGCTAGGCAGCCAATGAAGGCGATTTGAGTTTGCCGCTCTTGGCTGAGCCAATCGCGGCAGCCCGTTTACTAGCCAATCGCATCAGTCTGCAGCGACCAATCACAATCTGCTATTCGCGGGCCAATCAGTTGCAGGCTTTTGAGCCTGCTAGTCCGGAACACCCCTCCCCTCTCGGTTCCGTTTAAGGGGTGGAGTTATATAGTCTCGTAGGTAGGCAGGTCTTCATACCTGTCTACCTGACTTACGCAATTCCAATTGTCCATGTTCAAATTCGGGTTCAGGTGGACTGTTAGCTGGATCTAGCTGGAACGGTGAACCGGTGCCATGGTTGGGACTCTCCTCTGATGCCCCCTGGGTGTTTGAGTCCTCAGCTTCGTTGCTACCGCTATAGCTCCCCGGGCTCGCTGAACCTGCTTGGCTGCTGTTTCTTGGTGAAGTATTCGTCTGCCCAGGTTCAACTACAGCTGGTGAGCATTGCAAGCCATGGTGTGGTGATCTCGGGGTTAGTTCTGAATGAACAGGTGTTGGTTCTATTTCTGGGCTCATGGCTTCCCCTCCCCCCCTGGTGTCGAGGCTGGGGTCAGGGATGGAAGTTGTGGTCAGTCTAGAGCATAGCTGGTCAATATGGCATTTCCATGCTCTGCCATCAGTGGTGAGTAGACAGTAGGAGCGGGGACCCGTGACTTGAGTTATTTGAGCAGGAATCCAGAGGGGATCCCCAGAAAATTTTTTTGCAAATACAAGGTCTCCTACCTTAAAGGCGCGATACTTGCTGCTGGAACCCAGGGTCTTTTCCAGGGTGTAGGCAGGGTGCAAGCGGTCTAGAGGCGATCTGAGTTTCCTGGCCATCAGGAGTTCAGCTGGGCTCTTGTTAGTCATGCTGTTAGGTGCAGCATTCTAGTGACTTTATCGTGGATATTACCTTGTTCCATTTTCTGTAGGGTTTTCTTTGTGAACTGAACCATTCATTCAGCACTACCATTCGCCACTGGATGAGCCGGCGATGTGAGTGCGTGTCGGATGCCACGTTCCGCTAGGTATTGTTCAAAGGCTAAGGCAGTAAATTGGGGCCCATTGTCAGAAACCAGGACATCAGGTAGGCCGTGTGTGGCAAAGAGTCTGTTCAATTTTTTGATGACTGCCTCTGTGGTGGTTGTTTTCATTTTATTGACCTCAAGCCAGTTAGAATATGCATCTACAGTTATTAGGAAAGTGTGGCCTCTAGTAGGTCCTGCAAAGTCAATATGAATGTGTGACCACGGACCCCTGGGTGTTTCCCATTCTGCTGGTGGAGCTTTTGGTGGGGCTGAGTGGTTTTCCTGGCATCTGTTACAAGAGGCGACCCAGGATTCAATTTGTTTGTCCATACCTGGCCACCAGGCGTAAGTTCTTGCCAGCGCTTTCATACGCACGATGCCCGGGTGTCCATCGTGTAGCATTTGTAGGACTTTTTTTTGTAGTTTAGTTGGTATGACGACTCGGTCTCCCCATAAAACACACCCTCTTTGTGAGAAAAGTTCTGTCTGTCTGTTTTTGAATGGCTTAAAGGTTTCCTTGGATTCATATTCTGGCCATCCCCACTCCACCCAGCCAAGAACTCGTGCCAAACAAGAGTCTCTTTTGGTTTCAAAGGCAATGTCCTGGGCCATTAGCGGAGGTGAGGGAATTGTCTCGATTTGTAGTACTGGGAGCGTGGGAGCTGGGTCTTCCTGTGGCTCGGGTAGTGGTGAGCGGCTCAAGGCATCAGCATAAGGAATAGATTTCCCCGGGCGATATTTTAGTTGATAGTCGTAAGCAGCTAGGAATTCCAACCATCGCATCATTCTGGGGGAGAGAATGTGTGGGCTAGGTTTGTTGCCCAGCAAAATGCCAAGTAATGGCTTATGATCTGTGATAATTGAAAATGGTCTCCCATATACATATTCATGAAACCTTTTAATCGCAGAGACAATAGCAAGGGCTTCCTTATCTAGGTGGCTATAGTTTCTTTCTGTTTTTGATAGAGTTCTTGAAAAAAATGCAATTGGTGCCTCAGAGCCGTTTGGTAGGACGTGGCTCAGGATGGCCCCCACCCCAAATGGTGAGGCATCACAAGTAACAGTTAAGGGGAGTGTCTCGTTATATTGAATTAGCACTGCATCAGAGGTAAGGAGGTCTTTTACTTGCTGGAAGGCATGTTCCTCCCAACGTCCCCAAATCCAGGAGGCCCCTTTATCGAGTAGTCTATGAAGGGGCTCAGCAACAGTCGCCTTCTGGGGTAGGAAAATGTTATAAAAGTTAATAAGTCCCAGGAAGGCTTGGAGGTCAGTTTTGTTGTTGGGTCTTGGGGCATTTTTGATAGCTGCCAATTTCTTTTCTGTAGGGTGGATTCCTTGTTTGTCAAGAAGGTAGCCAAGAAACTCCACCCTTTCTGTGCATAGCTGGCACTTTTCCTTCTTAACCTTGAGGCCAGCATCTTTGAACCTTTGTAGGACTGTTCTGAGGCATTTCTCTAATTGACTTTTTGTTGGGGCTGCTATTAGTATGTCATCAAAATAGGGCACGACCCCTTTTATGCCTTGTAATAGTCTCTCCATCAGGCTTTGAAAGATGCCTGGGGCTACGCTTACTCCAAACTGGAGCCTGTTGCATTTGAATGCACCACGATGTGTAACTATAGTTTGGGCTTCTGCAGTTTTGGAATCAACTGGCAGCTGTTGATACGCTTGGGCCAGATCTAATTTTGCGAATATTCTGCCACCCCCAAGTGAATGCAGGAGATGCTGAACGACTGATACCAGATAGGCGCTCTGCTGCAGCGTGTGATTGAGGGTGGCCTTGTAGTCACCACAGATTCTCAAGGACCCGTCAGGCTTTATGGGGGTGACAATTGGTGTCTCCCATCAGGCGTGGTCAATGGGCTCTAACACGCCTTGTGCAATTAATTTGTCCAGTTGCTCATCAATTTTGGGTTTGAGAGCAAAGGGAACTCGGCGTGGCTTTAGGCAAATGGGTGCAATGTCGGGGCGAAGATTAAACGAAATAGGGGACCCCTTGTACTTGCCTAAGTTTTCACTGAACACTTCTCGGAAATCATGGACGAGGGCTGCCTCCCAGTCATTGTCTTCCGTATGATGGATGCCAGCCATTCCGATTCCTAATGGTGCGAACCACTGAAGGCCCAATAGACTTGGCCAGTCTCTGTCTACAATGGTGAGTGGTAGAATTGCATTATGTCCCTTGAAAGAGACCTGGAAATGGTGGGTACCTGCGACTGGAATCCGGTTGCCTTGATAATCTTTCAGTATGAGTCTTTGACTGCTGAGGTCTTGGCGTCAGATGTTGGGAAACAGTTGCTTGAGCGTTTTCCAGGATACCATGGATAGTGAGGACCCAGAGTCGACTTCCATGATGCAAGGTTTATTTTCGATGGTGACCTTTACATGGATTTTTAAGCATCTAGCGATGAAGCGTGGCTGATGGTGATGGTTTGATGAGCCTCTTCTCGTCGGGGTGTGCCATTAAACCGTTGGGGTCTGCTGTACTGGTTCCACTGGTTGCTAGGGCGGTCCCTCTGTGTGGTGGAGTTGCCATCATTCCTTTTCGAGCTGCTCCCTCTCCGTCTGGGGCTGGAATTTCTTTTGTTTCTGCATACCTTCGCAATATGCCCTCGTTTTTCGCAAAAACGACACATGGCGTCTAAGAATCTGCATTCGGATCGAGGATGGTTTCCCCCGCATCCGGCACATTGGTAGTTGGGTTTACGACCCTGCTGGTCCCGTTGCTCACGTTCTGTCCGGAGTCTGTGGACTTCTTCCTCCTCACTGTCTGAGGATGACTCTACATCTTCATGATGGGTGGGCGATGTGTACTTGTCTGAAGGCTTCCAGGCATCGTTGGCGGGTTTGCGGTTGGTTCCGCTGGTTCAGCGCATTCGTGCTGCTGATTTACGAGTGGCTTCAGCTGCAGTGGCGTCTGCTATGGAATCTGCAAGCGAGATGTCTCCCTTGGCCATGATCTTGCTCTGGACAGTTGGATCTCTAAGGCCAAGGACGATGCGATCTCTCATGGCTTCTTCGAGATTGGCAAAGCCACATAAACCGCCCAGGTTCCTCAGGTCTGCCACGAAATCCCCAATGCTCTCACCTTCACGCTGGTCCCTCTGATAGAACTCATGTCTGCGAATGAGAGTTGGTACTGCTGGGGCGTAATGGTTGCGCAGGATGGGAGCAAGGGTGTCCCAATCCATCATTTTAACTTCAGCTGGTTTCGCTAATGCTTTAGCCATCTTAAAAACGGCTGGTTCACAATGGGTTAGAAAAACGGCCCGTTTCTTGCTGGGCGTGGCAACTTTTAGGTTGTTGGACTCTAGGAACATTTGAAATCTGTCCATATATGAGTCCCAGTCCTCGCTAGTTGGATCGAACGGGGTGGGTGGTATAGCACTGTTGGCCATGTCGCCGTCGTTGCGCTCTGTCAGCCACGTGCTCCTTCAGCTAGTTCAAAATCAATAGACTTCGTTGCCTCCGCATCCCATCCTCGTCGCCAGTGTTAGATCTGGGAGGATGGTTCAAGAACGGGGGCAAGACTCAGATAGCAACAACAGCTCTTTATTAGTGACTTCAGATCTGAGCAAAGAATCCCAGCCGCAGCAGCCCCTTATATAGGGCTGGCTGCAGCTAGGCAGCCAATGAAGGCAATTTGAGTTTGCCGCTCTTGGCTGGGCCAATCGCGGCAGCCCGTTTACTAGCCAATTGCATCAGTCTGCGGTGACCAATCACGATCTGCTATTCGCGGGCCAATCAGAGTTGCAGGCTTTCGAGCCTGCTAGTCCGGAACAGGCAATGTGGAGAATAAAGATGGGAAATTAAAATGCTTGAAAGTGCAACTGAAGATGTAGCTCAACTCCATTTAACCATGTTAAAAGCCTTCTGTGCAAATTTTTAGATACAGTAGTTTCACTCTCCTTTTTTCAGCCCTCCTCTTTCTCCACATTTGTTATTTTCTTCAGCTTAGTTTGAATTTGATGAGAAATGTTATTTTAAAATTATTAAAAGTAGAAAACTGAATTTGTGCCCATAGTGTTTTCCAATTAGATGTGACAAATTGGGAAAAGAGAAGTTGTTTGTGTTCTATTACTCTAGAGTATATAATCAATTGGGCTATATATTTTTCCCTTTCCAATCTATTTTAGCCCCATGGTCAAATTTTATTTGCATGCAAACATCATAAACATATAGCAACCTATTGCTCTTTTCTATTTTATAGACTATTTCCTAGTCAATGGCCTTTTCAAATCTCTTTTATAGGATAATTAAAATAGCATTGGGGTAGCAGGGCCTTGATCTCCCCACTGATTTATTTTGGTTTTGTTATATTTTGCCACTTAATAATAGGTTTGTATATCTTCTGTGTATGTTAAAAATGAAAATTTGCAGTTGACTGGTTGGTTGAGTTATTTTCCCCCTTCAGAAATAAGTGTTCCTCCCTTTATTGAAATGTATTGTGCAGATCTACTGAAAGTATGACACAAGTGTGGAAACTATTCTTCTGCTCTCTTTGTTATATTGATGAGTGTGTATGTATATGTGAAAGGACTCTGCAGCAAAAAATGAAAGTGAAAGGTTGCATGGTCCTACTCGTTTCTTTAAGATGGAAGACTGATAATACTTGGAAGAATGCACAGATTTAGAATCAATATGAAGTGACCATTTTAGTCCAGGAAGAAAGAAATATAGATGTTGAAGATATAGGTATGGATACACAGAAAAATAAACTTGTACATTTATTATTAGATAGTTTTTTTAAAAAAAGAGTGATGGTAGAAAGGGTTGCACATTTACCCTGGAGCTCTGCCTGATGAAAGAGAGACGATCCACAGAGCTAATATCCAGAAGGTCTTCTACACCATCTGCCAGACCAGAAATGGATGAACGTTTCAGCCAGTTCCCTGTAATACAGAAAGCATAGGTGTGAATATCTTTCTGACTCTACTAGTTGAATAATGTACATCTCTAATTACTGGTACTAAGGACTCAATTCCTAACATCTAAAACAAAATATTTGGAGTCATATAAAGGAAGATGGGGGGAAATTCAAAGACACAGAATAGCATGACATCTTCATGTAAAAGGCTTCCTGTGTGGAGAGAATCAATGAATACCCATGTTCAAGTCTGCCCTCTATGAAATTTGGCTGGATGACTTTGGGCCAATCTCCATCATTTTCATTGCTGATGTTACGGGATTAAAAAAGAAGATAAATCCCTACCTGCTCCTGGAGAAAAGGCACAACATCTAACAAAACAATAATTGAATGACCTAGTGGGAGTTTGAGTTTCTTTCTCAGGGAGATCCGTCTGGAGCGGGAGCGGGAACGCCTCTCTGTGGCCATTCCTGAGTGTGCAGTTGTGCATTCTGAAGTGTCTGGCTCCGACTGGCTGCTGGTATCGCTAGCGGCACTCTGGGATTTAAACATTTTCCTCCAGAAATCCTTGCGGCCTAAGACTGCTCCTTGCATTTGTTCATCACTGTGAAGAAATTACATGGCTAGTAAAACTTAGCAGAATGGAAAAAAGAATAGGACAGCATCCTTCTCTCTTTTAATCTCGCCCTGTGCCCAGGTTATTCGGCTAATTTTAGAAGAGGGAATAAGCCATAAACCTATTATCATAAAAGCGATTTACTAAAAAATTTCAATATTTTTAAGGGTATTTTGTAATCCTTATAAAATAGGATAGTAAGCACTATGCTGATAGTATATAATATTACTAATAAAGTAATAATCTGTATGTGGTAAATTAGGAAGGTATTCAGATGGTGAATATGATTTGCCTAAGGCTAGGCAGAATAAAATATTCTATTACTGCTAGCAGTGCAGTGAGCAGGAGTTGTTGAGAAATAACTTCCATATAATTATTATGTGAATCCTTTTCTCTCAGCTATAATAGCTAACGTTTACATTGCTACAATGAAAACTAGGAAACTAGTTGATTCAAGTCTGAACAGTGTTTTTGCTTTTTAAATTATGCTTGAATGTAATCTGATTGTTGATTAACATGAAATTTATTGATCAAATTACTTACTGCTCAGGAGTTTGTATTGGACGACCTGAGATATAGCTGCGACACTCATCAGGAGCAGAAGACAGCTGTCCTTTATCAATAACAACACTTCCTACTTCAGATCTACAAGGACAAAGCTACTAGTCAGAGGAACAATAACATATTGTATTCATTCCTATTTAGCTTCCCAATATTATTTTTAAGAGTATTACTTTTAAAACAGAAAGATGAGGTAAATTTTATTCTTGCAATCTCCCATCGGTACATATCAATTATGGCATGAAAATATATCAAATTGATTATCTAATTTGTAAGTGTGCTTATTTAATGTAAATTCAGGAACGCTTCTCATTAAATTTAACAGACCTAGACTCCCAGCCAATCAAGATGAGGAAAAAACCATTCAAATAAAGCAGAAAGCCAGCACCAAATTCAAACAAAAAATGGCTGCTAAACCTGACACACAAGATTAAAAAGAACCCAATACACAAGCTTGAGGATGGCAGATGAGATTCTGCCGAAACGTCGCTATAATAAAAGCACAAAAATTAAGATGTGGGAAAATACCCGAAGAAACCTAAATACCATACATATAAACACCCACGAAAACATAAGAAATATATATATATATGTGTGTGTGTGTGTGTGTGTGTGTTTTCTTAAGTTTTCATGGGTACTTACATGTATGGTATTCATTCGGGTATTTTCCAATGACGTGGGAAAATACCCGAACAAAGCTGAATACCATACATACATACATACAAACATACATACATATGTTTTCTTATGTTTTCATATATATATATAT